ATATCAGATAACATATCAGTATCAACTGATGTTCGTTAAAAATAAAGACATCAGCATCAGTCTGATGTGTCAATCTTGGTCGATATTACCAGCTGGTACTTATACTTAAATCAATATTCAAAGATAGCAGAACCACAGCTAAAGACATAACTACTAAAGAAATGGAGATGATAGCATTGGAAGATCAGGATGAGAGATTTCATCAGCTCATTCACCAATCAGGACCTTGCTACGGTCCCATGAATCTGCCATACTTTACTGATGTCTACCTGCCTAAGTTATATGTTGGGGTTTCTGCACAGATTCACAAGATAAAGAATTCCCCCTGGGATCAATAAAGTTTACCTTCTCTAATCTAAACTTAATAAGTAACGTCACCGACATCAGTTTCACTACAGATCTGTGGAGCGCAGTAGTTAACTGGTTATTTGTATCAGTAATATTAGCAAAAATATATTGGCATCGGTCCAAGTTTCCACACTGGTGCACCACTAATAATTAATAATTAATTCTTATTACATGTAAAGCTGATTTCTTTGTGACATTTCCCCTCCTTTACCTTAAAGTCAGACAGCACGCTATGTGATTCATGCTTCACTGTGGCCCCCATTTTAACTCTCAGATTATAGAATATAGGCTTTAAAACCGTGACCCCTGTTCCCCTTGAACTTGCGCTGGTTGAGTGACGGGTGCGGCCCTCGGCTGTTTTTCTGCACCCACATTTTTCTTCATCAACGTCGCGTTACAATCCGCGATGCAATCCCCGTGATCTCATACTGTATCCCGCTAAACTGCTCAGACCAACATCAAAGTCTTCAAACACAGTAACTGTTTAGTTTTGGCACGCATGTACTTGTGTGAAGTCCTGACGTGCAGATGCATCACATGAAGCTCATTCTGAAGCATAAGCTACCTTGATGTCCACGGGCCCATTGGCGTGTCGTCTGCTGCTTTTCTTCAGCACTGCTATCCGCTCCTGGTGATCTCTCCATTGATGGCTATTGATTTGATTCAGATTACAACGTTTTTTTGAGGAGTCCCATTCCCGTTTCTCTGCATATTTTAATGTGACCTTTAACGTTCTAGCCGAAGCTTGGTGGTTTTCAGGAGGGAGGGAGGACTGCATTAACGATACTCACACGGGGGTGCAGAGTTTGCTGCAGTCACATACCCCCCCTAATCAGTGAAATACATCGAAATGCATCACGGAGGAAGCACATGACGGAGAGATTATGTCATTTTTGTTTTAGTTACAGTCCTCTCATTGGCATATGATTAGTGTTATTGTATTTCTCATTCGTTAGCTTAACTGCTCTGAATCCAGGATGACCTATCACGTGGTTAGAGAGGTATAGGCAGGTGTCATCCTGGGGAAAATCGCTCTCTCTGTTATTCACACACACAATCTCTGGGGAGCTGTAAAACACTATGATTTTACAGCTGCTGGGATTCTCCCTCCCGTGCTGGTTGTTCATGTGTTGTTTTAAAATTTAATGACGCCCGAATTAAGTTTGCGGTCTGTGGATCTGCTGTGCCCTTCAAGTGAACCCGGTGACCCTGTCACCCCATCTCAGTGTGCATACACGTGCGGTGCCTTCTCTTACATTGTTTCTGACTAATGTATCCGAGCTGTGAGTTCGATGTGACTGTGATGCAATAATAGCATTCTTTTCAGTTTTTTTCAGACTATGTTCCTTCATATTCTAAGTGTTCATGTGTGTTCCCTATGTGTCTCTTCCTTCCCTTTTGCAGCCTCTAATCTACTCTAGCTTCCTTTGCATGAGTAAATATAGTCTGGCCTCGTAATACAGCCTCATAGCAGATCATATTCAGTAACAATTGCCTTAATGCCTGTGCATTACCTAAATTACATGATAAATTTGGGCTGGATTCACTTTTTGTTCCCACTCTATCCATCTGCTAACAGACCAAAAGATGTTTCATCCCGCTCCCCACAGGCCACTATCTCCGCTTTTATGCGAATTATTAGTATCTGTCGCCAGCCGTCCCCCCAGCCCAGTGCTTCTGAATAGAAATTTTAATAAGGTATCACTCTCATTTCTGATTTCCAGAGGATGAAAAGGGTGACCTCTGACCTTTAAGGTTGATAGGTGTAATACACTGACATTAAACCCAACCCACTTTGGAGCAGGTCCCAGCACTTGAAAGGTTGAAGATCATGTCTCCAGAATGCGTACTTGTGGTCATTTCGCTTTTCCTTGAGCGGTGTCCTGTCGAGGTATTTCGGCTGAGGATGTCCGCTACCCGCTATACAGTTTTATTTGCCGCTGTGAATTCAGTACTGGCAGTGATAGATAAATGTGCTATTTCAACATTTATTGGGGAGGGGGGGGGGCTACCTGCGGTGAACAAAGCCACAGCATATATTAAATTGAGCTGTGGCTTTGACAGCATGGCCTAGTAACAGCTGTACCTTGGTGGTGGGGGGGGGGTCTTTGTTGATTGGGTCTCCGTTGAGCTCTGCGTCGCCAAAGAAGTATCCTATAGATTAAAGCTGAATGGGGGAAAAAAATCCCTGTTTGCATGCTTCATATTTTCATGCAAGAGGCCACAATTAGCATGATAATAACAGGACTTAAACCTGTAAAGATCAAGTCACTTTGAATCCGTGCTGGGTCCCTGTAGATACATTTTAATGTGGAGGGTTTGCCCTTTTTCTGTTTATCTGTTTGAACGCTGACCACATGAGATGATGTGCTGGTTTCCTCATATCCTCTTTGAGCATGATGACCTCATAACGCTGTGGTACGTGGGGGGCATTTTGCTTTGATGCCCTCTCAAAGTTTCAGAGCAAATTGACAACGTCTCTAATGTCCTCTTGCAGGGTCCCCCCAGGCAGTGGGAAATTTCTTTGTTTATGCTTTAGATGCGAAGATTCACCCTGCAGGCATCCTAACTAGAGACGAACGAAAGGTATGACTATAGCTATGGAGGCTGAAGATATCAGTGTGGTTCAGCAGGTTAAGACACGGTGCCTGCGATCGGAAGGTCATTGGTTCGAATCCCAGGGTTGACAAAGTGATTTTACTGTTCCTTGTGCAAGGCTCTTACCCGCCGACAGCAGGGACTGGCTGACCTTCTTCTGTCAGTTGTACGTGGTTTAGGATTAAAGCATCTGCTAAATAAGTAAAATGTAACGTCCCGAGGATGAGACATCAAACTGGACCTTGGTCATGTGTCCGGCCACCTTGAAGTACTTGTTTTGTATTTATGTTTTAATGTCAGAGGAGCCAGGACTCCAGTGTTTTATCTGCAGTATATATTTGTATAGAGTAAAGTGTATAGAGTGAGTTTTATTGTGAGGTCACGCAGCTGCAGCATTAGAAACTGGTGACATTTTGAATACGAATATCACTGCTGCTCTACCTAAAGACTTACGCTTAAAGACACATTGTTACAGAATACTGGAGTGTAATCGATATGGAATGATAAACAACTGTTTTCTGCCTGTGTAAGTCTCTCTTCTAATGTTCTAGCATCCTGCACCAAAGCTGTTCTGACACCTTGTAAGCACGTAACAATGATGAAGTAAGTAGCAGCTTTCTGCGTGATGCAGTCCAGCTGCTTGTGCCTAGTGATACTGCAAGTACAGGAACCCGTGATTTGGGGTGGACTAACTTTTCTGGGGGCCCGAGGCTGACATGGGTAGAGGGCCCCCTAAGTGGTCCGTTTGAGCAAATTTTTGGAGCTGGAGCTGAAAGAGAAGTGAGAAGGAATTAAAAACATCAATGTTATGCTAAGCAAAGTGGTGACCGACGAGGTTGGGGGCAGGAATGCTGTCCGTAAAATCCACTGACCAGTGGGAGGGTGGTATCATGTTTGTTTAAATTCAGTTTGCCGAATTTAAGAAGTTTAACAGTTCCCTGTTTTGGTTGGTCTTGAATTTATATACGCGTGTTTAATTCTGTTCTATCCACAGCCGCTCACAATTTGTCTAACACTCTAGTGCAACAGTATCAAAGACATGGGAGATATAATGTTAGTCTTGTATCCTTTCACCACGGAAAGAGAAAAGTAGCTGCTGTATAAGGAGTGAATATGACCACATAAAAATACAGATCGGACAGCAGAAACAGAGTGAAAACGGGATGAGAATGGGGATGGTGCAGAATGGGAATGGTGCTGTCCTGTTTGTTAGGGAGTGAGAGTGCTCCACACCGTCACTAATAGCATCCCCAGAGGGCAAGCTTCGCATGCAGACTCTATAGCTATATATGTCAGCTTTACACACGCCTTCTTAAAATGAATATGATGTGATATATTTAAAGAAATGCTCCTCTTAATGGGTGGCATTTATACTTGGTTGAATGGGTTATCAAAATGACTGGCGGTCTGTGTTTTCTATATAAACAGAATGTGAATGTTTCGGCAGTAGCTGGGGTTAATATGAAGCGTACCTGCTGGAAGTTCCTCCCACACTGGTAGTGTTAAATATTTAAGTTAATTAGTGAAAATAACTTATCGGGTGGTGCTGTGCCTCATACCTCCAGTGTTGTGGGTTTGAATCCCTGCCCTGCTTTGTGTGTGTGTGTGGGGAGTGGTTGTGGGGTTGAATCCCTGCCCTGCTTTGTGTGTGTGGAGTGGTTGTGGGGTTGAATCCCTGCCCTGCTTTGTGTGTGTGGGGTGGTTGTGGGTTTGAATCTCTGCCCTGCTTTGTTTGTGTAGAGTGGCATCCTGTCCAGGGTGTGTTCCATCCTTATGCTGCTTGGAATGGTCCCCAGGTCCCCATGCTTGGAAGATGGATGGATGAGATTTATGTTATCCTCATTTACCACAACCCTGTACAGGATAAGCGCTTTTGGAAGATGGATGGATGTTCTGCTTGTTGTGATGTTTGATTGAATCGGCACCTTTTTTTGACTGATTGTTTTTGGTAAATTTCTTGGACTAGCACATTTTGCGCGTTCAGATGTGTGCATTGATGTTATTGCTGTGTATTAGCCTGTCTCAGGCCCATGCCTTCTTCTTCTCCATGTTAGATGGATAAGCGCGAGGCTGAGATCCAGACCCTGCAGGACACCATCACAGAGCTGCACCATGAGTTATCCCTGAAGGACCAGGAGAACCTCAGGCAAATGCAGGAGCTGCACCGGTTTGAGAGCAAGGTCAAGGAGGTGAGCACAGATGTACAGTGTGGTCCACTCTATGTGCCGCACAGTCCTGCTTGTGTATGTCAGTACTCTCAGTCCTCTATGCAGCATTATGTTATCATTAATTCCATTATGGCATATTATTCAAGGGCGATTCTAGGATTTTTTTAAGGTCAGTAGCATAAGAGGGGCCATAATTCATACAGAAGGGGCAACTGTATCATTATCCATTAATATACTGTGAATTAGTGAGTGACATTCCAGGAGCCAATCAGCTTGCAGCTGGGGTCAGTGGTCCTCTGGACCCGCCCTCGTATACAAACCTGTTGATAAAGATATTGTTCTTTTAAACTGAACAAATATCAATCTGTTTATACGTCTCACACTGAAATCTTTTGATTTCCTTGGGAATCTTCCTCATACCAACCAGTGTCAGATCTACCAAGTCAAGCAGAAGCAGCACAGGGCACAAGGCAGGAGGAGCCCCTGATTGGGATACCAGTCCATCACAGGGCACATACATATGCTCACACTCTGGGCAGTTCAGAGATGCCAGTTAGCGCGACTGCATTTCATTGGATGGTGGGAGGAAGCCTGCCTGACACGGAGAGAGCATGTAAACTCCACAGAGAGCAGAGTAGAGGCGGGATCCGAATCCCCAGCCGAATGAGGCTGCCGTGCTGCACGCTGTGTCACCCAGTCAGTATTAAGCTGATTGGATGCGAGGTTGTTAAACTGAATCGCTGCCCAGCAACAGCTTCTGAAAGTCACAGTGCTGACATCTGACGTGTGGCAATGATGCGTTCGGTAGCCTGTCGCTTTCTTACCAACAGGTCACGTTTGAACATGAGGTCACATCCTTGGTTCTTCAGCCTGTGCCTTCTGACTTGTGGGGATGCTGTGGAAGCTGTCGTGAGGGCTATAGATAGATAGACAGACAGACAGCAACAATAAATAATATGCAACAATAAACAGTAGCATTGCAAAGAATGTCAAAGAAAGTATGACATGGAATTCTGTAGTAACGACTCAGAAATAAATAGTATAGCACAGTGGGTTCTGCACAATGAACAAATGAATGTCCTGTGAATTTCATTTCACCACAATGCTGCCATTTTGAGTAAATGCCTCTGAAGGAGAAGGTCTGCCTCTGAACTTGATGAGGCTAATGTGCTCTAAGAGGGCTCCAGACTGAAGTGAGACAATCACGTACCTGTTCCTCCGTCCTGTTTCCCTCCCCCTCCTCCACTTACTGCTACACAGTGGGAAGAGGGGGTAGAATCACTGTTATAGGGGGGTGGTCCCAGGAGCGAGAAGCCCATTACTCACGTGTGACAGTATCAGGGAGGCCGGCTGGGCTGCCCTCACTCGCCCCGGACCCAGCGCCACGTTCAGTCTTGCCTCGCCTCGCCTCGCCTCACTCTCAGGAAATTGCCTCGTTCTTCAGGGCCCCGAGGTGACATGCTTACTATGCCCACATGTGTGTCCCAGCCAGAGAGCTGGACTTCTGAGTGCTGTTTCGGGTGCTTGGCCCGAGGCTGATGAGTAAGTTGGGGCGCCCGCTTGTAGCATTTGACATAGTGTACAGTTCTCCTTCTCTGCATGTAGGTCTGCAGTGATAGGACCTTCTTCAAGGGTACAGTGACAGCCCTGCACCTCGGACACAGCAGGTAGCCTCTGTCGTCCCCCCCTCCCCCCAGCCACAGGTCTGTTTCTGGAGACTGATGCAGCCATACCGCTTTTCCCCGACATCCTGTAGCCAGCGTCAGTGAGAAACTCTCCCGCACCGGTCTGTCAGCACCGGCTGTCTGTCTGGCTGGACACTGAGGCGTTCAGAGATTTACAAGATGCTTCAATGCAATCAGGTGGCCGTGTTTTAATGCGCATTTTGTAAATGAGAAATATTTGTTCTTCATTGTTATGCGGATGAAAAAAATGTTGGGTTAGTGTGTTTGGGAGCTAGAGGTCCATTAATGGGGTCTAGGCCTGGCCTTGCTCCAGCCCCCCCTCACTCTGGAGGATGATTGTTTATTACCATTGCAGCTCAGGCTTTGTTCCAATTGTCTGGGCTCGCCTCTCTCCCCCCCCCCCCCCCCCTCGCGGTGCGACACGGGGGTTTGCCGCAGCCCTCGCTGCGGTGTGTGATTAGGGGAGGAGAGTGTCGGATTGCTTCTCCGCAGGACTGTCTGTTTGGTATTCATCATGGCCCACGGCTTTCATTCGGAGGCTCTTTGACGTGCAAGGACATTGTTCCTCCTACCCGACTCTAGAATGTTCTGCGAAACAGGATGCCTTCTGCCGTAAGAATAATAATATTAATAATAATTCATCCGGCACATTTATTCAGCATTGTTCGCTTATCCTTGTGGATTCAGTAAGATTCCTGGAGGTGAAAAGCCTCCCTTCAGAGGCTGCTGTTTGGGACTGGTGGCTTTACTGTGGGGTGGGGGGCAGGTGGATAACTCTGAGATCCCTGTAGGTATGTGGGTGGTGTGTTAGGCACAGCTGGACCAGCGCAGGGTTGCGGGGGGGTGGGGGGGGGTCTGTTCTGGGTTAAGGGCTGCACTTTTATGCCACCTGCCCCCATAACTCTCCTGGGGGCTTGTGGGAGGTTGTAAACATCTCAGTGCGTGGCGGACCGGAGGCAGAGCGCCGAGGGCCTCTCGCACTGGAATCTGCCTGACCAGCCTTATGTCAGAGGTCTCTGTCTTTCTCAGGTTTATGGTGACACTCTCGTTCAGACCGCGCCTTGCTTCTGATTTCCAGCTCCATGCATCTGTCAGTGCAGAGAGAGTCGCACAACTCTACTCAGCTGACTGTGTTCCACTTACCGCATGACCATGCATGTATTAATATTATTTCTTGCAGATTCTTGTGCTGTGTATGGAATCCCATTCACATTCTCCGACGTAGCTTGGTAGTGTTGCATGGGTGTCATAATGAAGGGCTGATAATCATCGACTTACATCCCGTCGAGTAACGTCCAGTTGTACTCACACCCGAAGTCCCGTAAGAGCCTTATTAAAATTTATAGAGAGACGTCCAAAGCAGACATAGTGGACGTTAGCAGACTGATAGCATTGCTGCTATGTAGAGGTGGGCCATAAATCGATTTTATCGATGAATTCAAATTTACAGTTTAGGACGATGTGTTTTTATGAAAATCGATTTTATTATTTATTTTACACGTGAGTGCCAAAAGCGGAACTAGTGCGACGCACCGTTCTTCACGGGTACATTAGCGCGACACACCCAAACACTGTAGCGGTTCACAAACAACATGGCAATGGTTCAGTTTTGCGCCGTCAGACACAGACCAAACAAGTCTTCGTTGCAAAGTCTTTTTAAAAACTGTTGCAACCAAGGGAAGCAGCACGACAAATTAATTCCAGCACCTAAAGCAGAGGCACATAGCGGAGTGGGAGAAGTGCAGCTCCCACCGAAATGAAAATTCACACAGCAGCAGCACAACAACCAAAGTTAAGCAAGCAACTGTCCCTGACACGTTTTCGAACTGTGTGCCATATGATAAGAATAGGGCACGGTGGAAGGCGATAACAAACGCTGTCGCGATATATAGTGCAAAAGACATGGTGCCCATACATACTGTTGAAAAGCCGGGATTCATTAACATGCTAAAAGTTTTTACAAGTTTCTAAAGGTGTTTACAATGGCGTGGTCTGCCATCTGACTTACAAGCATCTTTTTTGGCTTGTCAGATTGCACTTTGAAGTAAAAAAACAAAACAAAATAAAGTTAAAACTTGTTTTGAACCATTTATTTATCATCTCTAGTTTTATTTTGAGTAGGGGAGGGGAAAATCGATGAAAATCGGATTTATTATGAAAAAAATCTTTTATTTTTAGGCCATATCGCCCAGCTCTACCGCTATGGAGGTTTTAGTTAAATGTGTGTGATATTGTATCTTATGTTATATAGTATATTTGACCTCTCTGCTATACATATCGAGATGCCTCCAGATTGACTTACATCCTCATTTCCAGAACATAACCTGGACATAAGTCGATGGATACCTGGATCTCTTAATCACATATGTGTGGGATCCCCCTGTCCAATACACGTGAGTCTCACGGTATTGCAGGGCTGAACTACATGCACATGCTTGGAAAAAGCAATTTTCAACTTTGCAGACAGTGTGGTGGGGGGTGTAGGACAAGCCGACATTCTGCTGCCTCTTGGGAGGGGGGGGGTAATGTCTCCCCCACCTTGGACTCCAGGTTAGTGGACCGCTGACGTTTTTGTAGGGGGGCACCAGGTGTCTGGGCTTTTAGTCTCATTCTCTGACTCTTTGGCTTTATTTCCCTGATCTTTCATCTGACCCCCTCTCATCTTTTAATGTTCTCTTCCTCTGGTAATCCCATTGTCTTTGTGCTATGATTTCCCGCATCTTCGGTCTGCTTTCCTTCACCCTGATCCTGCCTTTCTTTGTGTGCCTCCCCCGCTCAGATCTTTTATTACCTCCTGGCTTTCTGGTTTGATTATCCGGCCTTTGCGGTCTGATCTGCTGACGGTTTGCCATGTGTTACATTCTCTCCTGGAGCACCCCTTCTGAATTGCTGATATAGGAACTTTTCCTCGGATGACATAATGGTAAATTTTACTGCCACTGTTTGTGTCCAGTAAATTCTGAAAATGGAGCTGAAGTGGTTCAGGCTTATTATCGATCACTTGTAACAAAGAGGAGAGCCGTCTGATACAGCAGAGTCTGCCTCTTGTTTGCTCATGGTTGTCAGTTTTACTTACACAAAAATGTTTTGAGGGCAGAATGAAATATGATTGGTTCAGTGAGATAACCAATCAGATTGTACATCCGATTGGTTGGTGCCGCCTCTAGTTGCTTGAGCCCACCACCTCTACGATCTGATTGGGTATCTCTCTAAACCAATCATTTTTTGTTCTGCTCTCAAAACATTTTTGTGTAAGTAAAACTCCCATGAGCCTCTTGTTTACAAATCCCCAAGACAACGCATGGCTGTCAAAAAGTTCATGAGCTTTTTTGTCTC